ACACACACACACACCACCTGTCGGCCCCCTTTGGTGTGTTTTTCAAACTGCCAGGTCCAGGAATCAAACCACCGAGTCAGCCATGTGCAACCTGGCTGCCTTAACCTCCAGCCACGTGCTGGCCCTGGTTCAGACTGAAGTAACAGGAGTGAACGAGTGAGTAAGATGGGGAAGAGAATCCTAGGCAGAAGAGGCAATCCAGCAGCCACAGGAGGAAAGCAGCCTCGGTGCAGGCTTGGCAGCTCGGACATGTGGGGAACAAGTAAAGGCAGGAAGGAGAGAGGCAACGAGAAGAGCCTGGGTGTTAGCAGAGGCCAGGCCAGCTGCTCCTGGCCTCCGTGCTACGGAACAGGGAATGCACAGTGGGGGCCGGGGTGGGCAGTTAGTGAGGCTAGTTTTAAGGAGAGGAGCGAAATGGTCATGCTCCTCTTTAACAAAGACCACCCTGGCAGCAGTGGGGACAAGGGGTGAAATGGGTCTGGGAGAGCAGCCGGCAGGTCTTAAAGTAACACAGGAAGGAAGTGAAAAGGCCAGAACTAAAGCAGCACCAGTGGGAGGCAGAGCAGATGGTGCAGGCCTGTGAGGTTTTTGGAAATAAAACCACAGGACTTGCAACCGCATGTGAGGAGTAAAGGAAGATACCATCATGGATGGCTCCCAGGGAGCCAGCCCCATAGCCTAGTGGTCAAGGAAGCTAGATCCCACATGGATGGTCAGCCACAGTTCAAATCCCAGCTTGGCAGCTTGACTAATGTGCTGGGCACATGTGCATATGTGCCCCAAGTCCCAAAGGGACGGAGAAATGGAGAAGGGACTGGGAGTGCTCTCTTCCTCTCCCTGGCAAATGCATACACCCTCTGGCAAAATAAATAAATAAAAAGTACTCCAATTTCATTCTCCACCCAGAGTGTCCACATGATTGGTCTAAAATTCGACTCAGCCCTCCCTAACTATATGCTTCAATCTGACCCTAACGCTACTCTGCTTAAAATCTGTCACTGGCTATCCAAAGACATCAGGGCAGACCCCAATTCCTGAGCCTGGCTGACCTGGCCCCTCTCAGACTCCACCTCCCACCACATCCTAACCTGAGCTTTAGGCTTCAGTACGGAAATGTCTAGCATCCCATGTGTCTGACCTTGTACGTCTTTTATTAATGCCTTTGCTCAAGCTGTTCCCTCTACCTGAAAAAGCCACAACCTTCCTTTTCTAATGCCTCCTGGTGACATTAGGGCTCAACTCAGGCTCTAACTCCAGGAAGCTTCCGTGACATTCAGGCCCTCCCTACACAGCAGCCCCCAGGCTGCGGCTGCCTGAGCCTGCCCCAGTCCCTCCCTGACTATATGGAGAAGTTTCGTGGTTCACTTCTGTGTCCCCAGTGTCTAGGGCTCAACCTGGCTTGCAGTACCACTTCCTAAATACCAAATGGATAGTCCTGTCTCCACTCCAGCCTGCTTTGTCCAGCCTTCCCTCCCACTGCCTCAGACACCTCACCTCTGGGCTGTCCCTTCTGAATCCTGCCTCTCCAGCATCTCCCTCCACTGGACCTGAGGGGCCTGAGGATGACGGTGAGATGCAGGAAAACCCTGGGCAGAGCTGGAAGTGTGGGGGGTGATGGGTTCACACCTGGCCGTGCTCAGTCTGAGAAGCCTGTGAGCAACCAGGGGATGTGCAGGTGCAGCTGAATGCACTGGGCTGGGAGGAGAGACCCAGGACTTGAAGTCTCAGATTTGAGCCTCCAGTGCTTTTAGCCTTTAAGTCTGGGACAGCCCACGCTGCAGCAGCTGTGAGGCCACACTGTGGCCGAGTGGCTTAATTAATGTGGGCTAGGAAGGCCCAGCCTGGCCTAGCTCAGCTCCCTGGCTGGGTGAGTCTGGGTAAAGCCCTGCTCTGGCTGAGCTCCAGTGACCTGGAGCAGGAAGAGCTCATTCTGGATGGGCTGGGGATGAAGAGCATGGGCAAAAGTGTGATCTACTAGGAAAACAGAACCAGCAGGACTCAACAATTCCTTGTATCACTGAGGTCTGGCTCAACTGGCGCCTTCTCAGGCCCTCCCTGGCCACCCTCGCTAAATGGGACAGCCCTACCTCCACGTTCACTCTTTATGTCATTTTATCCCCGTTTATATCCTGGTTTCACCTGACAGAACCCATTTTATTTTCTTCCTCTCATGTTTGTTATCTGTCATCTCCTACCTCCTTTGTCCTATTACAGATTAAAGTAACGAGAAAGGTAAGTGAAAAGGTTAAGAAAACTCTCGGGGACCAGCAGTTAGCGTAATGGCTATGTCGCTGAACTCCCATGTAGTCGACCGCGGTTGGTAGTCGACCGCAGTTTGTAGTCAACCGCGGTTCGAGTCCCGGACCTGGTGGCTTAAACTCACGCCGGGCATGTGTGCGTGAGTGCCCAAGATCCCAAGAGGAGAATGGAGGAGAAGGGATTGCTGTGTGGCCATCCCCCCTGGGGGGTGATTTCTCACTTTCTGTCTCTCTCTGTCTTTCTAGTGAGCACACACACCCTATAGCAAAAACCTCTCTTAAAAATAAAATAAGAATGATTCTCAAGTTTGTAAGCCGTGGAACCAGGTGGATAACAGTGCCATTTGCTGTGATAGTAAACAGGTTTCAGGGTGAGGAATGGAGGGAAGATTCTGAGTTCTTTTCAAGGATACCTACCTGATGTGAGGTGCCTGGGGCACTCAGAGACAGACATCAGTAAATGACTGGATGTGTGGGAACCATTGCTCTGGACCAGGGACACTAAGCTGGGGTCACCGGCAACAGAGAGTGACTGAAGCTGCACGGTATGAAACACACTAGGGAGAAAGTGAAGAGAAGGACACTAGGGACACAGCTCTGAGGAACAGCGACATTTGAAAGTCAAGAGACGCCAGGCCAGGAAAGCACAGGATCCCATTTGGAATGTGTCTGCACCAAGGACTGCCTGGGCTGCTGTGTGCCCTAGGAGCCCACCCTGGGAGGCTAGAGAGCTCACACCTGCAGCTTGGCGTGGGTGGGCAGCCTCGAGCTGGGTCTGCATGGTGGACTCACCTTGTTGAATCTGGCAAATGGGTAATCCTTGCCCTCCTCCGCGGCCCGCCGCCAGTGGAAGAACATCGCTCCATCCTTGCGGGCCGGGTTGGTGAATGGCATCCACTTCCAGGGCCGCACCTTCTTGGAGCCCAGCTTGGCCTTCACTGTGCGGTAGCCCTGGCCAGTGTCACTGGGCAGGAGCGGGGGTGCATCCCTGGCAGTGGGGTTTAGAGAGGTGAGAGGTCAGAACCAGAAGAGCAGAGAGCCTTAGGGGCCAGAGAGTTGACGTACACTAGAGTACAGAAGTTATGGCCTGAGCAGGAGCTGTGAGCTCCTCTAGCACCTGCTAAGCAGGTGGGGCCCTGGCTGTGGACAGGAGAGAAGAGAAAACTAGGAGTTAGGGGCATGGCAGGCAGGTTGGAAACCAGAGACTGGGGACTTGGCATTCCGATACTTACTTCTTGTCCGAGTAGAGCAGGGCATAGACCTCCCGGTGCATGCCCTCCGGCCTCTTGAAGGTCAACGTCTCCGAGGACTTCTTGGACTTTTTCTGAGAAAGGAAACTACAGTCTAGACCCTCTTTCCTGAAATTCCTCCAGCCCAGCTCAACCTCTGAACAAACCATTGCCTGCAAGCACGTACTGATGGTTATCTCAGGCTACACAGGCACAGAAACCCACTCACAGGGGCACCCCAGTGTGAACAGACCCTTGCCCTCCCTAGCCCCACCCCATGGTAGTGCACTGACCCGTCAGAGTAGAAGGCAGTTTCCCACCATCTTTCAGGCTGTCACAATGTCTTGGTCTCCCCCACCCAGAATGTTAAAAGTAGCATGCTCTCTTGGTCTTCTCATCTCTTAGAGAGATCACACTATCTCCACAGTGTCCTACCTCCTCCATCCCATCAAGGGTGAACATATTCACTGTCCCATACAGAATTGTGGCAGCATCACTTCCCCCGTCTGCCTTCCACTGCCATCCCTCCACTCCCCCCTCCCCCGCGCTCTGGGCGCCTTTGCTACCTTGTCCGGATTGATAATGTCCTTCTTGCTGATGGTCCCGGAAGCTGCATCCCCCTCTGGACCCCCGAGTTCTAGAATGTCCCGTACATCCGCGCCCGTAGCCATCGCGCCTGAAAGATGGGGGAGCGCCTGCGAGGTCAAGGGTCAGTGCCTGAGGAGGGACCAGGCTCAGGTCGGGGGCGGGGCCGCTCCAGACCCGAGTGGAGGCGGGGTGGAGAGGCGGGCCGCGAGCAGGCGGGTGGGCCAGGTCAGGCCGAGGTGGGCTGCTCGGGCGTCCCTAACGGCCCCATCTGCCTCCTCGGCACCCCGCGCCTCCGCACCTGGGTACCCGGCTGCACCCCGCCGCCGCTCCCCAAACCCCGCACAACCGCGGGCTCAACTTCCGGTCGTGCTCATAAGAAATGAGGCCGGCAGGAACACTTCCGGTCCCTGCTTGGCGGAAACAGAGCCGGCTGGAAACTAGGTGTGACGGCTACCGGACGCGCTGAGCGGGTGCCCGGCCAGTTCCCCGGGTTTGGTGCCCGCCTTTTGGCATTTTCCCTCCACTTTGCTCCGTTGCATCTTGGGCAGTGAGGTTTTTAACTTTGAGAGTAACTTAATTTATCTGAACCTGTTTATTTGCAAAATGAAAGTTGTCATGGTAGCTGCTTAAATGAAACACCAATAATCCATGTAAAATACTAACATGACACAGCGCTTGACACACTTTGTAATTAAACAGATGAATGATATTTATTGCGCCTGTTCATCAGCTGTTGCTATGTACCAGGCACTGAGCTAAGCTTGGAGGTTAAGAGAGAAACTGGACAACAAGGAACTTCCCGGGGTCTGGACGCTTACGTGATCCTCCTCTGATGGACGTGACTGTGGGTGGAGCTTTGGTGGGCTTTCCCGGTGCCCAGCTTCCCGGAGCTTCGCTGGTCCAGAAGCTAGCTGCTCTGCTTCTCCCTCAGGGAGGAGCTAGAAAGATCCCCCGCAGGAAGAAACTTGCTGATCTTACTGTGCAGAGAGAGAGACAGGAAGTTCTGAGGAAGGACAGAGGGACAGGGGGAGCAGCTCCCAACTTTAGCCTCTACTAACCAGCCTGTCAATATGAAGGAGTCATTGCAATGAGCACGGGGGACAGGGAGCAGCTCGTTAGGGCATTAAGGGGGCCATCCCCCTAGTCAAGACCTGCCAAAGATCCCAGCAGGAGCTAGAGGAGCAGACACCTGCACAAGTTAGGAGGAGAGGAAGCTGCAGCCACAGGCGGGGCTAGACCTCCATACACTGAAGAACTTAGGTCTGGTTGTATGAACATTTCCCTGTTCCCAAGGCCTGATTCCTGCAGGGATCCTCTGAGCTACAGTTACTCTCATCAAGTAAGCCAAGGTCTTGCTGTAATAATTGCTCACAGGGCAAGGGAATGGTCCTTAAAGTCAGAACTGGACCGAGCAGTGGGAAAGAACGCTGACCCTTTGCCTCCAACGCTTGGCCCTCCCTGTACTTAATTAATGAACTTGTAGTTAATGCGTGAGTAGTCCATGAATATGTATCTTTAATATATCTTCTTTAAGAGATACTTCCTTTGTGGCCAGCAGGTAGCATGATGGTTAAGGCGCTGGACTCCACCATGGCCAACTGTGGTTTGAGTCCTGGACCTGGAGGCTTGAAAATCATGCCAAGTGCATGTGTGTGTGGGTGTCCAAAATCTCAAGAGGAGAATGGAAGAGAAAGGATTGCAGTGTGACCTTATCCCCTAGAGGGTGATTTCTCATTTTCCCTCTCTCTTTCTCTCTCTAGAGAATACACACACCCTATGGCAAACACACATACATATAGACTCCTTTCTGTGAAAACAGTGTCAGTAAATGGTAAGTAAATTAATATGTGTTAAACATTGTTCTAGACTCTGAATGCATTGGGGTACAAATGAGATACAAATACCTCCTGATGGAGCTTATATTTATTGGAGGAAGAGAAACGCTGAGCATACAAACAATGAAATTGATAATATAGTTTGGTTTTTTTTTTGGAGAGGTTTTTCCCATAGGGCGTGTGCACTCGCCAGACAGACAGTTTCAATGCTGACAAGGACTGTGAAGGAAGCAAAAGAGGGCAATAAGAACGAGGACTACTTTGCATAGTGTGATCAGGAAACGTTTCTCTGACTGCTGAAACCTGAGCTGGAATTTAAAGGGTGGAACCAGCCACAGAATACCTGGAGAAGAAAAGTTTCCCACAGCAGGAAACACAAATGTAAAGTCCCTAATGCAAGGAGCTTTATACCTTGAGGGGACACAGTGGTGGGGGTGTGGGGAGAAGGGGGAGAACAGCAGACTTGCAGGTCAGAGGTAGTTACTGTGGGGCTTGGGAAGGAGTTTGAGTGTTACCCTAAGGGCAATCGAATGTCATCCTCTTGCTCACCACGACTATGAGCTCCTTCACGGGGCATTGGGTCTCACCCTCTGAGTTCTCCCAGCATGAAATGCACATGTGCGCTCTTTGGATGAGCTCCTGGGAAAGGCAAGGCAGTCTGCACATGGTGTCATGGAGACCTGACCTGGCTTGCTCAAGTTAATAATAAAGAGCATGTTCAGAGTAAAAAGGACAAATATACCATTTTTAAAAATTATATATTTAATGTTGTTATTATTATTTATCTTTTCATTTGACCAGAGGGAGACAGAGAAAGTGAGAAAGCAAGTCGCCAAGTCTGGGACTTGAACCCCAGCCAGCCATGTGGGAGTCCAGCATCCTAACCACCATGCCACCTGCTGGCCCCTATTCCAGTTTTTTAAATGACCCAAGAACGTTAGGGAAAATCACAGAAGTTTGATCACCAATAAATGTATAAGTAAGCATTCAGCCTCACTGGTATTCAACGGATAGATTTCACTGGCATAATATTGTATGAGAGAAGTAGGACATGAATGAATATGTATTGAATGAGGGGCTAGCAGGTGGCATGGTGGTTCAGGCACTTGGCACTCTCACATGGCCAACCACAGTTCGAATCCTGGACCTGGTGGCTTGCTTTCTCACTTTCCCCCACCTACCCACTCTCTCTCTGGTCAAATTAAAATAATAAATTAATGAATAAATAAAATGAAATAATTATTTTTAAATAAATAAACAAAAAGTTTATTTATATTTTTTTTTGGAGAGGTTTTTGCTATAGGGCATGTGCACTCACCAGAAAGACAGAGAGACAGAAAGTGAGAAATCACCCCCCAGGGGGAATGACCACACTACAGTGCCTTCTCCATTCTCCTCTCAGGATCCTGGGCATGCATGCACACGCGCCTGGCGTTAGTTTAAACCACTGGGTCCAAGACTTGAACCATGATCGACTACATGGTAGTCCAGCAACATAACCATTATACCAACTGCTGATACCAAGAGATTTTTTTTTTTAAGAGAGTTTTTTTGCTGTGTAGGGCACATGTATTTGCCAAAGAAACAGAAAGCAAGAAATCACCCCCTGTGGGATGGTCACACTGCAATCCATTCTACTCCATTCTCCTCTCAGGATTTTAGGCACACACGCACATGTGCCTGGCATGAGTTTCAAGCCTCTGGGTCTGAGACTTGAACCATGGTCGGTCATGTAGGAGTCTAGTGCCTTAACCACCATACCACCTGCTGGCTCCAGACAGTAAAGTTTTAAAATAATTACACTTCCCATTCTCAACAAAGATATGGGTGAAATAGACACTAGCATAAACAGTCAATGGGAATGTAAATGATGTGGTTTTTTTCATTAATTCACTCAGGCTTTGTTTGGTTCTTGCTGTATGCCACTTAGATATGTGCTACCAAATGCCAGGCATGCACCAGGCCTTGAAAACACAGCAGGAGAGAAGACAGACATGGTCACAGCTTTCAGAACGTCAGTGGTCTTCCCCTTTCTACAGAGGTGTGTATGTATAGAAAGAATGGGAGGGGGATAAGCCGAAATGATGCTATCCATCACTTTTTTCCTAGGTGATTTGTATTCTTTTTGTCTGTAGATATTTCTATCCTCTCTATAATGAATGTGTACTTTCTTTTTTTGAAAGAGAGATTGATTTTGCTTCTATAGGACATGTGCACTCACCAGAGAGACAAAAACAGAGTACAAGAAATCACCCCCAGGGAAATGGCCACACCACAATCCCTTCTCCTCCTGGGATCTCAAGCATGCTCACACACATGCCTAGCTTGGGTTTGAAGCCACCAGGTCTGGGACTCGAATCATGGTCGGCCATGTGGGAGTCCAGCAACATAACCACCACGCCATCTGATGGCCCAAATACATACTCCTTTTACAATAAAAGGAAAGAAGGGAGATGGGAGAGGAGAAGGAAGAGGGTAAATGGTACAGAACATTCTCAGGACCTCACAGGCTCCCCACTGATGCTCCTTCTACTGCTTGGGTCTGTGCCATGATAGGTTAGTTCTGCCTGTTGTGAACGAGACCATCAGTACACATTCATTCGTGCCCTGCTTCTCTCATACAGCGTCATGCAGGTGAAATCCATCCATATTCTTGCCGATAGCAGTAGTTTATTCTCTCTTGTCGCTGTCGTAGTACATCGTAAGACTAGATCACAATGTTATTCTACTGTTTAGAGACTTTCAAATTGTTTCCATAATAATGTTATGACCATTTTTGTATGTGTGCTTTTTAAAATTTTAATTGCCAGAGGGTACATGCACTCATCAGAAAGAGACAGAGAGAGAGAGAAAGTATCCCCCCATGGGGCATGCCCCAAATCCCAACAGGGTGGAGAAATGGAGGGAGTGCAGTATGACCACACCTCATCAGGGGGTGCTTTCTCTTTCCTGTCCTCTGACTCAGTCTGGTGAGATAACATGCCCTCGGCCAAAATAAGGAACTAGAGGAACCAGCAGATGGTGTAAGGGACTCCCACGTAGTCAACCGCGGTTTTAGTTCTGGACCTGGAGGCTTAAAACCCACACTGGGCACTTGTACATGTGTGCCCAAAATCCTGAGAGAAGAATGGAGGAGAAGGGATTGCTTTGTGGCCATCCTGGAGGGTGGGGAGGGAGTTTCTCACTTTCTGTCTCTCTTTCC